ATTTTTTTGGGAAATAGATCTAGGGGTTCGATGTCCTGTTATTATATTTTGTTTGTTATGCTTTTGTTTTTGCTTTAATGGGTGGAAAAAAGTTTAATTGACTTGAATTAAGTTTTATTTTGTGTTGCTATGAGAATTCGTAGCTTTAAATTTGTGTTGTGGTGATGCCTGATTGTTTCAATTATACATCTTGGAAACTCTGCGCTGTTTGTTAATTATTCTGGTTTAGCCTCTCCTCCCTCCAATTTTTGTTGGTTTCTTCAGACTAATATCAATCCAGGCATTTCAAATGCTCCTGTAGATTTGTGAAAACTTAAAATATAATATGTGAGTGCTCAGTGTAGGTTTATGAAACTTCAAATGGCAATTGATTCCAGTTTTGCCTTGCTAATCTGTACCTTCTGGGCGTTTGTTTCACATGATTAGTTATTTAATTATCAATTAATGGATTGAAAATATTTATTTAACAAATATCTAAGCTACCTTCTCTTTGAAGCCAGCCATTTTTCATCTTGAAGTCCATTGATTAATAAAAGGTGTTGTTTGACATCTGGGGAACTGCAAAGGCATGAAGGTCTAGTATATGTGGGATGATAATAGAATGCAAATGGAGTCACAGGTTCCTATGGACTGTGAGGCATGCTTCCTTCCTGAGAATCCTGGAAGTAAGGATGGGAATTCTTGTGAACCCTCATCCTCGCACGATCACATCTCTCCACAGCAGCCAGGTATATTTTCGCCTGGTTAGTTGTGCAAGAATTGTTTAAATGTTAGGGAATCATCCCACACAATGCCTATTTATTTCTATGCAGTGAAAAAGCAACCACGGCAATGGGCAGCTTGGACTCGTCAGGAGGAAGAAAGCTTTTTCACCGCATTGCGTCATGTTGGCAAGGCAATTTTCTGTTGCATATTCACTGAAATTTATTTGGAAGTTGTCTCTAGATATTATTTCTGACTATGGAAATTCTCCTTTTCTCCACCAGAATTTTGAGAAAATTACTTGCCAGGTCCAAAGTAAAAACAAGGATCAGGTGATTTCCCTTAACACTAGATTCTGACCTCATATTCAACTGTTCCCTTGTTAGACTTTAATGTCCTCCTTTCAATTTTAATTTATTTTTGGCGTTGAATGTTGCAGGTCAGACACTATTACTACCGGCTTGTGAGGCGGATGAATAAGTTGCTGGGTCCTGAACTTTGTCTTGATGCGAAAAACTCGAAAGATACCAATGCTGCAATGCTACGATGGTAAATATTTACTTTCTATTAATTTTTTCTTGAGTAAAATTTCATACTTATAAGTCATAAACTAAAAAAAAAAAATGTTAAATATAAACATTTGCCTTTTACAATACAAGTAAACTTTAGATTATGGACTTTAGTTCATTGAAACATTATATACCCTCAAAATTTATTATTAAATGAATTTCATATTAATCGTTATAATATTATAGAAGAATATTATAATATTCTTTTTGGTCGTTTGATATTTATTTTACTTATAAATAACTATTTTGTTTAATTACATAGTATATTTATCTAAACATATAATTTGGAAAAGAAATATACTTATAAATAAAATAAGTAAATTTATATGATTAAAATTTCACCTATGCCAATCGAGTTCTATACATGTCAATTTATATGGTTGCAGTTTTCTTCGAGCAAATTAACTACAACTAATTGTAGAAAATTCTATTGTTAGTTCATAAGGGCATTTTAGGTATATATATTGCTCAAAAAGTGGTCAAGGTA